TCAGCTATCTGCTGCCGCTGCGCAGATGGAGCCGAAATCTCCATACCAAGGATGATGTCACGGATTTCGGACTGAGTCAAGGACGCAACGTTGACACTAAAATTGTATGTTAACAATAAATTCATATAATCGATCGAATTACGTTCTACCGTTAATCATTAGAATGAACAGATTGTTTTACTATTTTAAACCTCTTCAGTCTTCATCTACTTTTCCAGAACTTTAGTTCGAAAAGACATAAGCACCCTGTTAATGATACACTCTAAGAATGAAACGGTAAGAAAAATGGAAAAATATATTTATTAGTAGATTAAATATATTTAGCAGCTACAGCTGCGATGGTTTGGACATGTGTTACGAATGCCTCCAGAAAAGAAAACTAAGCAACTGTTTCTTGCAAATTCGACCGCCAGAAGGCCCAGAAGACGGCCAAGATTAACCTGGTGTAAATATATGGAAGGAGTCTATTACAGACTCCAGTTGTCTTTTTCCGAAGCTCAGACTTTGGCACAGGATCGGGAACGTTGGAAGTTTTGTCTGACGCGTCTGCCGCCGCGACCCGAAAGGAGATATGGCGATAGAAGACGAAGATATATTTAGAAGCTTAAAGAATTCACAACGGGCTTTGTAGCACAAATTAATAATTGAATAACTAACCACAACTTATAACTAACTTAAATTCATAACTACAAATTGGTAAATTATCATTAATCTGAGCCGAAGAAAGAACATCGTTGCGGGTTCCGAAAACTTCGCCTATAAAGATATTTTTCGGATCTCTTTATCTGCATATCATATGATCAACGCATGAATCAGGAGAATGTACCTACAAACCATTTACTAGAAATGTAGTAAACCAACCAGGAGATGAAAAACTGCTGCTGGGCATATAACAATCATCAAGTTCTCCAGGAACCTGCCTTAAATAACCTAAATCATAAACTGACATACCTTGAAACATACATACCAATTAATACTGAAATTTAATACAAGTTTCGTAAATTAATCCACACCCATTATCGACAACTGTATACTTGCCAGTCACTCACTACATACAGCACAATGGACACAAAAATTTACTAAACTTTAATTCAGTAGCTCATCATTTCATACTATTTATTCAATTTTCTCTACAGGTCCGACTGCCCTGTTACTTAAAAAATTTTTAGAGCGTGACAATCGTCAAAACTGTTATTCTGTCATCTAATGTAAATATATTTACCAGATAATCAGAGTACCGATGGGGCATTTGAAATGACAATTACTATCTAGAAGATAATATGTTCTGATTACTTATTCTTTTTTCCGTAATCGGCTAAGATCATATCCTTCAACGCGAGTTCCACCTTAATCCATTCTTCATCAATCAAAGAAGGCCAGATATGGTGAGGCTCAGTGATCGTAGTTTTATCCGGTTTCAAAATAACTTTCGTTTTGTCCGGGTTGATGTGCAAAGCTCGAAGAATCAATATGAGCCTCGAGAACGCCTAAAGAATGTTAATCAATTATGGCTTGATAGAAAACAGAAGCGATTTTTTAAGTACTGTATAGGAAGAGATCGTCTTCAGCCAGTCGTCATAGAGATTGAAGAGAACCATTTGCGGCTCGGTTGCCTTCAAGATCAGATCACCGAACTTCTCAACCTATATAACGCATTGTTTTAAATCACGTACTGAACATAAGAGCATGGTATGTGCACATTACCTTCATGCAAGCTTGGAAAGGTAACATTAGTTCGCTTCCCTTGATAACGATATTTGGAAAGTCCAACAGATGGACTTCTAGCGGATCCAACATGGCCTTTCTTGTCACGATGATCTGACGAGGCTGCTCTTCAACAGGCAAGGACCTGATCAACGCAGCCACCTCTTCGGCGGTCTTCCACTTTGCCAGCTGACCCAAACGCTTTTGCCCAGCCCATACCGACGTGTGAATAATCTTCAAAAAGAGCTGGCCAGTCCTTGGATTGAAAATGAAAATAGCGCCATTAATGGGCTTTGTCGTCAAGTTCCCTTCAAATGTCTAAAAAACGGTAACAATAACATAAAATACGTTCATATGATCACGAACTATAATAATTCACAAATATTAACTGTTAACATCAAATACCGTAACTGTATACATAGGTAGTACCATTAATATGAAAAGAAAAAAACGCGACTTAGAAAATTATGTTCATTTTTTATACACGCAACGGGAAAATAGAAGCCTTGTTATGTTTCCATAAGCTGCCTTCTAAATTCAGGTCTGTCACTTACCTTACCGGCTGAGGCACAATCTTAATTCACAATATTAGCCAATAACTAGTTTCATCAGTCACTTACTGAAAAAAACCAATGCTACAACGCTGGCCCCCCCCAAAAAAAAAAGATTGCCTAACATTTTCCTTAGGTTTTACCTCCAATAGAATCCAAATTTCACATCGATAAAGTGCGGCATATACGACATGTGTTAGAAGTAAAAGGAGTCTGCCTTCCACGACAGGTTGTGGGCAATCACCCCACAAAAAGTCACCGACAGCGTCAAGTCAATTTTGCGTAACGCCACTGGTTTGCATCGCTCAGGAAAATTGTTTGCTACCAAAACATATAAATATGCAAACTGCAAAGCCATCTACGGTGAGGTTTCGAGATGTTTCATTAGCAGCTTGGTTTTCTACCTGTTACCTTTCACCACGACGCTAATTACATTTTTAAGGCGAAACTGAATGGATACTGCTGAAGTCAAAAGAGGCAAAAAAGAACGGTCATTAACGTTTCACTTTATTCACGTTTATGAACTTGTACTCATAAAATGATATTTCAGCATTGAACAGGGACAATCGATAATAAAACGAGCGACATATGGTTCATGCATTTTGAACCTGGACACATAATCAATATCGGACGAAGATGATACCTTATGAATAGTCACTCGATAGACGTTGGTGTCATCGACGAACCAAATGATCTGGTTAGAGAACAGCTCGCCGTAGTTCTGCGAAGTGAGATAGGGTTCGGTGGGTTCGGAACTGTACAACTGGAGTCCTTTGCGGATTCGCTCCCGCAGAACGTACAGCGCCGGGTTCGCTTTCATGATCTTCGCCATTGCCTGACGAATCAATGGCTTGCAGCCCGGAAACCAGTTGCCGTATGCACTGTAGATAAAACAGTTTCAAGATTTTATCTCCAAACTACGCATACATGTGGTTAAAACAGGAAAAAAGTGTCGGTCGTATCACGCGCCGAGAGGCCATAGGCCGGTCGGCAATACAAATGACTAATGATGATGTGTCACATTTCTGACTCCGTCGTGCCAAACACGTCGGATTTAATAATGTGAAATAAATGTACTGAAAAATTGTACTTGCTCTTAAAACCCTCACCTATACAAGTTGTAAGCCAGATCGACAGCAATCAGCGTACCGGTGGGCGATGGATATATGCTCATGTTGTCAGTCGTGTAGTCGAGGAACTTCGCCCTAGAATACCGCTCGATATCGTGCGAATCGTAGTCGCCCCAACGAAGCTGCACATCGATCCAGTACTTCTGTGTCGTCGTGTTATCCATGACGTCCCTGAAACAGGATGATAATGATGACCGTTCGCCTCCCC